TAAACATTTTATGTCACATAAAGATGGATAACTTCCTCCAAATTCAAGATAGAACCAGGTAGAAAAAGGTTAGATAGCCAGGAATTCTGCATACTTCTAGTTCTGCTGACCAGTTTACATCAACAGAGAACTCTCCTTGGAATGGATTTTGATATGAATAGTTCTCCTTGCTACATAGGAAGAGTGTAAAATTCAAACAAATAACTGCTATTTTGTAACACTATTGGAAGACAAAGTCATTCATTCTCATCCCCAAAAAATGAAAGCATGAATATCAAGAGTAATTAATTGGAGGTAGGAACAGCAAGAAATCATGGTTATTGTGAGATGTAAACTCAGAAGTTAAGAGGCAACTTTAAATACAAAAAGAAAAATCTAGTAGATATTTTGGTCCTATGAAGAAATTGGAATTCTACTATTTTTAGTTTAACAGCCACATCAAAAATAACAAAAAACTTTTTCATAATTTAAAATTTAGTCCATTTACTGTTTGATCCCCACTTTTACACAAGTAAAACTCTTTCCCTATTATTCAAAATATGGTTATTAAACTTTATCAGTATGGAACAAACTCTTTCTATGTTCTCTGTCTTTTCATTACATCATTTTATGCTTTGTACCCTGCTTGTTGACTCAAGGGAATAGAGGAAAAATATTCTTAACACTTTTTTCCCAGATAAATACCCTAGAGATTGCAAGCAATATTTCTGATATTCAAGGAAGATTCAATATATTATATATTAGAACAAGTCTGGGTTTTGCGTGGTGGGATTTACTGACATTAGTAATTATATGGACTTACAAATATCTACACACCCACCCTTTGTAGATTGTCTTAATTAGCTTGTCCAGGATTTGTAATCCCCACAGTCTATGTAGTCAGTACGATCATTAAACCCAATCATATTTTAAACCTAATCTGATATTTCACTAGAGTCATTCAAATCAATTTACCCAACAGAGACATTTGTCCCTGGCCTGTCACCACAGCCCGTACCAAGCGTCCTACACTTCTTTATCTTTTGGCAGGGCCATCATAAGCGAGCGACACAGAGGGTGATGTATGAGAACTCAAATAAGTCATAAATTCCACAGCCCTTCATCTCCTGCCATGCAGACTGAATTTACGCCCACTGGCCTTGGCAATGGCTCTTAGCTCGGCTCCAAGAAAGTCAACTTAAAATGACACACTCTTTTAGAAGTGAATCTCCCCTCAAAGTGGCACCTGGGAGAGGGAGACTACAGAAGAGAAAGGAGAAACTAAAGATACCAGGGCACTTTATTCTTACACACACACACACACACACACACACACACACACACACACCTCACAGGTAGAGGTCACTAATCCCCTTTAACTTTAGAATTAAAATACCTTTGTAGGGAAAGCTCATTCTTGCTTTATGCCAATTCCAATATGACCAACATTCATTTTATTTTGCTTCCAACAGGTCTAAGTGGTATAGAATTAGGATGGTAAGCAGTGGTGGTCACATGTATGTGACTTTCATATGCCACAATAACAGAGTAAGCAACTCAGAGGCAGAAGCAGCTCTCTAGACAACGATAGTGCTTGTAGAAACAACAGTAATCTTGTAATCTGCCTGTATGCAAACACATGCTCTCTGTGACAGTTTTTGGGGAAAGCAATACATTTAAGTGCTCAAATGAACTTCTAGGTGAAGCTTCCTCAGTAGCTTATGAGATCTTCAAGAAAAGTTTTTTACACACGTGGGTAATCTGATTCTGGATGAAGAAGTAAACACACTTCTTTTCATTTTTGCCACCTCAAAAATATATTTACAGCCCTAGTAAAATGCAAACAAAAAGAATGTCATATAACAAGAAATTAGAAATTGGGAATGAAACAAAGGTATCACAAGTTAAGAAAAACAGTGGAAACAATGACCAGCAATTGTTTGAGACACTTTCAAATATTCTTACTCCTCTTAGAGAAGTGGAAATTCTGTCATTCATAATGTACTTTACAGTTAACCAACAAAATTTAACCTAGACCTCCCTATTTCCATTCCTTGATTTAGCTGGCAATGCTATAACGCAATACCAATTCCTTTTCCCATACATCTCATTATCCAGCCTTCTTAGTATACATCTTGAGTGCTGCAATTTACTTCAAAGTCACCAAGAAAGCCAAATCTCTTTGGGACCATCATCATAAACCACAATCTGCTGCCAGCTTGTCTGTCCTTATCTGCTTCTTGTTGTAACTTCCTTAAAAAAAAAAAAAAAAACTCAAAACAACAACACAGCACAACAAAATGATGAAAAAACAATTTACCTTTTGGTTTCTGTTCAATATGGTGACTTTCATTTTTATTGTTTTGTCTCTGTCATTGTATTTACCCATCAATAATCCACGCCGTACAACACAGGATAATGGAAGAACACATATTCCCATGCCTGTCTCAGACATGCCCATAGGCCACCACCACCATTGTGAAGTATCTGACATGACCCACCTTTGACCTTAAGCAATTGTTTTTCTTTGTTTTTATTTTATTTTATTTTATCGGTACTGGGAATCGAACTCACAACCTTGCACTTGCCAGGCAGGCACTTACGCCACTGAGCTAAATCCCCAGCCCGGGTTCTCTTCTTTACATAAAAAAATCCAAACAGGATCATATTAAATTTAAAATAATCACTGATCATTATGTTTCTCCAAATAAGAAAGAGCAATAACATTTTGGAATTCTGTTATAAGTTGGAAGTAGAAATATTCACTGAATATTATATAAACAAGCTATTGATTGCTGAATTCAATAACTTTATAATTGTATTTCTCATACATGTACTAAATTTTCTAGCAGTATAGAGTAAAATACATCTATCCTTTAATTTGGAAAACTAGTATAAAATCTGCAACATATGCCAGATTTTAAGAAGTAAATGATCACATTCAGAAGAACAAAGGCATATATGATAATTTTTTCCTCCTGGAAATATATAAATTCAGATCAATAAGTTCATGAACCAGGTACTAAACTCCACTATCAAAATAAAAAATAAATGAACACACAGAGAAATACACATGTACTTTATATCAGTTTATAAAGCTTCAAGGTAACTACTGGCCCAACCCATCCCCTTGGGGGGAAAAAAGATGTTAGAAAAATAAATTTTACTTTAAAAATATCAGTATGTAGACATATAATTAGGTAAAGATATATAGAGGTACAGAAAATCTCTCAGATTAACTTGGCATGAATTCCTCCCCCAGTTTGGGAGTTTACTTCATACATTCCTTTTCTTCTATGGAGATATGGAAAGTAAACAGTTTAGATTGAGTTATATTCAACATATAGGATACTTGATGCCGATAGGAAAAGGTAATTGCTTATTCTAAATATTTTGTGTACCTGGGATTAAAATATGTAGTAAGCATACAATGTATTTTACTAGAAAAAAAATGGTATATTCTTATGAGTATGCACAGTTAGGGGACGGACAGAAGTGGGACCTCTTCTTTTCACATGAATGGCTGTCAAAGAAGAGTATCAAATACATTTTTCATGAAAAGGCCAAATATGGCATGCTTTATATAATGAAAAGAATATATTAAGAAGCTCATGAAAATGAAAAATGAGAGAAGGTTGGTGAGTGAAGTCAATTAAAAGGACAGTCCTCAGTTCAAATAATTTATCTCAATAACTTTGTTCTTAACCACTGTACGTCGATATATGTTTGACTTTACCTATTCTCAAACTTACCTTTGTCTACTAACTTTTCTCAGTTTACCTTTCATAGGGTGAATTTGACAAGTTAGCATCGTCTTTTTTAAAATAAAAAAGTGTATACTGTATTTGTAGGGGGAAAGGGTCCTAAAAATATAAAACAGCTAAAGTTAAATTTGATATTAGAGTTTGCAAATTTCACTCATTTAATGTGCTGTGTAAATTGGGTGAAATTCTTAGACATGAGATGACTCACTAATCCTATTCCAAATGGCATTTGGAAAAGGGTCAATTTAACAAATGAATCTCCTATTCATTTTCCAGAGCACTGGATTAAAATGTGATATCATTGGAAGTAGTTTATGATAATGATTGCTAATATGTACTTAGCTTTTGTTAGAGTCAAAGTGAATGTTTTATAAATTCAGTATTATCCCAAAAGTTCTGCATACTTCAAACAACCATGGTCAATTTTTAATAAATCTGAAGTTACTGTTTGTTCTAATGTCTTATTTATCAAAATTTACTTTTCAACTCTATAGAGTAATAGACCAAAGTAGGTTAATCAAAAAAATGTTAATATGTGTATCTGGACTACCATATCATCAAATTTCTATACAGACATCATAATGCTTTATTTTTCAGAGTACTTTATAAAGCATACTTGCTTTTCTGTCTGTTTCATTTGATGCCCTCAAAACAGGCAGATGTCACTATTTCTGTCCCATAGATGCTCTGATGAGGCTCAGAAAGTTCAACAACTTGCCCCCAAATTATTTTTCCAACAAAATAAAATATTTGACAAGAATATTCCACTTGTGTGTGTGTGTGCATGTGTGTGTAATACAGATCCTAATAACAGTGATAGTTCTACATATGATAATTTATGACTTAACTGAAGTCAGCTTGTACTATAGTTTGAGTAAGTGGTCCCAAATGGTTAATATGTAGGGTCTTGGTGATCAGGGTGGTGCTACTGGGAAATGCTAGAAGTGTTAGGAGTTGTCAGCTAGCAGAATGTCCTTCCATCACCAAAGGTGTACTCTTTGAAGGGATTCTGGCACCCAAACTCTTTTTCTAATTCCCTCCTAGTTCATGCTATAAGTAGTTTTACTGTGCCACATGGTCCCACCATGATGGGCTACCTCACAACAGATCCAAAGCAGTGCCCGGCACCCCAATCATACACTGGCAAGTCCCCAAATGTGAACCCTAATAAATTGTTTCTCTTTGTAAGTTCAAGTTCTCTGAATTTTGTTATAGCAACAGGAAGTTAACTAACACACCTTGTAAACCATGGATGTATTTATTTATTATATTTAATTTTATTTATTTAAAGAGCAAAAAAAGAAAAACAGACAAAAGGGTAACAAGAATACAATTCAAAAAATAAAATAAAACTAAGAAATAACTAGTTGGTAAATTACATACTGTCATCTTATAAATAGTTGTTCAATTTACAAAATTAAAGCATACAAAGTATACATTCAAACAGTGAGACTGCAAACAGTTCTGCTCAATGATCCAACAAAAACTTAGTAATATGGTTATCACTCCTACACACTTAAACATGCATGCAGTTATAACCTTTAGAGCACTTCCTTTTCATCTCTTTTTACAATAGCAATTACACATTTGGGGTTTTATTACTCCTACAGTTCTTATTACTTTTTACACTAGAGACCCAATGTGATATTTATAAATATGATTCTTATTTATTTCACTTAGGAGGATAGTTTCAAGTTGCCTCCATTTACCTATGAAGGCCTCAAGATCATCTTTTTTATAGCTGAGCAATATTCCATTGTGTAAAAATGCCAAATCTTCTTCATTCACTTTGCAGTTGATGGGTATTTTGTTTGTGTCCAAAATTTGGCTATTACAGATTATGCTGCTATGAACATGGGTGCACATATATCACTGTGATATGACCTTTTCAGTTTTTCTGGGAAAATACCCTTAAGGAGAATAACTCGGTTGAATGGAACTTCCAATCCTAGTCTTCTGAGAAATCTCCACACTGATTTCCATGGTAGCTGCACCAGTCTACACTCCTACCAACAATGGATCAGTGTTACTTTTTCCCCACATCTTTGCCAACATTTGTTATCAGTTGTTTTCTTGATTGCAGCTATTCTTTCCAGAGTGAGATGAAATCTCAATGCTATTTGAATTTGCATTTCTTGAAAAATCAGTGATGGTGAACATTTCTTCATGTACTTATTTGCCATTTGTATATCTTCATCTGAGAACTATGTGTTCATCTCAGATGCCCATTTTTGGAGAGGGTCTTTGAATTTGGGATCTTGATGTTTTTCAATTCTTTATATGCTCTGGATATAAGTCCTTTGTCTGAGGGGTTGCTAGCTATAATACTTTACCATCCTTTGGGTTTTCTTTTCTCTCTGTTGGTGATTTATTTTGAATTGTAGAAACTTTTCAGTAATATGAGATCCCAGTTGTCAATTCTTTGAAGTGTTTTCCATGCAGTTTGTGTTGTGTTCATGAATTCTCTGCCTATTCCTACATCTCAAAGACTTCTACCTACCTTGTCTTCCAGTAGATTAAGTGTTTCTGTTTTAATATTTAGATCTTTAATCCACATAGACTTTAGTTCTGTGCATGGTGATACGCATGGGTCTATTTCAGTCTTTGGCATGTGGAAAGCCAATTTTTCCAACACCATTTATTAAAGAAGCAATGCTTTTAGTGAACATGTTTAGCACCTTTGTCAAATATCAGGTGACTGAGTGTCTTTGTAGTTGTGCTTGCATTTTCTAATCTGTTCCACTGATCCTCAGGTCTATTTCTTTGCCAGTACCATGCTGATTTTATTACTGTGGCTTTGTACTATAGTTTCTAGTCAGGAATTGAGATGTCTCCTGCCTTGCCTTTGTTGCCCAGAATTGCCTTTGCTATTCTAGGTCTCTTTTTGTTTCCAAATGAATTTTAGGAGCGTTTTCTCTAGATCTGTGAGGTTGTCAATGGTATTTTGATTGGGATTGCATTAAATCTGGATAAGAGTTTTGGGAGTATGGCCATTTTCACAATGTTGGTTCTTCCTAACCAAGAGCAAGGAATATCCTTCCATTTTCTAACATTCTCTTTAATCTTCTTTTTTAGCATAGCATAATTTTCAGCATATAGCTCTTTTACATTATTGGTTAGGTTGATTCCTAAGTATATTTTTAAAGATGCTATTGTGAAAGATAATATTTCCATAATTTGTCTCTTGGTGAGATTTTTGTTTGTGTACAGGAATGCCATTGATTTTTGAACATTGACTTTGTATCCAGCTACACTGCTGAATTTGTTTATTACCTCTAGTAGTCTTTTAATGGAGCTTTTTGGGTCTTCTATATAGAGTATCATGTCATCTGCAAATAGTGATAGTTTAACTTCTTCCCTTCCTATCTTTATTTCTTTTATTTCTCTCCCTTGTCTGATGGCCCTGGCTAGTATTTCCAGAACTATATTGAATAGGAGTGGTGAAAGTGGCCATCCTTGTCTTGTTCCTGATTTTAGTGTGAAAGGTTTCAGTTTTTGTCCATTTAGTATAATGTTGGCTGTTGGTTTGTCATAGATGACCTTTGTAAGATTGAGGTAGAAACCATGTATTCTGAGTTTCTGAAGGGTTTTTATCAAGAACATATGTTGGACTTTATCAAAAGCTTTTTCTGCATCTATTAAGATGATCATGTGGTTTTTGTTTTTGGCTCTGTTGATGTGATGCATTACATTTATTGATTTGCATATGTTAAACCATCCCTGCATTCCTGGAACGAATCCCACTTGGTTGTGATGTAAATCTTCTTGATAATTTGTTGCATTCTATTTGGCAGTATTTTATTTAGAATCTTTGCATCAATGTTCATTAGTGAGATTGCCCTAGAGTTCACCCTTTTGGTTGGGTATTTCTATGGTTTTGGTATGAGAGTAATACTTGCCTCCAAGAATGATTTAGGGAGGACTGCCTCCTTTTCAATATCATTGAAGAGTTTAAAGAGTATTGACATAAAATCTTCTCTAAATTTCTTGTAGAATTCAGCCATGAATCCATGGATGTATTTAAATATTTCTACTTTTGAAAGTGCTTTACTAGCAATCAATAAAAACAAGAACCAAAAGAACTACAGTGGCCTTTTGTACAATGGTATTGTAAATCTTCTGCTCAGGCTGTCTGAGTATGTCCAAGTAGAGTCCTCAAGAATAATTTTAACAGGTGATTCAGGTGTTTTGAAGAAATACTAAAAACAGACTATCGTACCTATAGACCCATTGAAATTCGGGGTCCTGTCTTTTTAAGATCACCATGCCCTATGCCACTTCAGTGAGATGAAAATAGTTACAGGAGCTGGACTAGAACAGATAAAGGGATCCTATATGATTGAACGGCTTCACCTTGCCCATTAAAAGTTCCAAGCTGAAATTAGTCTCTACCCAGAGATGAAGGCCTCACTGACCTCCACCAACTTCTTGAAATGATGAGGAAGGAAAAGCAGGATATTTGGTTATAGATGCTTTTACTAGTCTGGGCTTGTTTCCCATGTTGGTCAGTACATTTGGGTTTCTGAATAAATTAGTAAAGGAGGGTTCTACGATCTGGATCCTTTGGAGAATTTTAGGTTGTGTTTGGACGTCTACTGCAATTACAGTTCAACTTATCAAAGCCATAACTCTTTAAGAGAGATATATCCCCAACTCCCTGCATTCCCTCATACTGACTGTTTCAGATAAATTTAGGAAAATCCAGAAGATATCAGTGTTCCATGGAGACACTTCCCAACTCATAAACACAAAAGCCTTTAAGAGACATACTTTGGGAAATGTAACCTGCATTATGTTGTTCCTGGTGGAACATTCTCACTCAAGTTTACCCACTCAGTGGAGACAGAGGTTTCTTGAGCACATCCTATGAGCCAGGCATTACGAGGGGACAGATCTACAAAGAGATTTCATCCTCAACTAGAGGGCAGAGTTTCTGCCCTCGCCATGTTTGCATGTGAAAGAACGGGAAAGTAAATGAATAAACATAATATGTTAAATGTTATAATAGAGCCTGACTCAGCATATAAACCTCAATGAAAAAGGAATGGCACAAAAGGATTCCTACAGAAGTCAAAGTCTGAGCTCTGAAGGTCAAGTATGAGTTAGCCCAGTTAGGGAGACAAAGGCAATAACAGGTGCAGATACTTAGAAATACGAAGAGCTCAGGTGAGTCTAAGAGAAGGACAATGGAAAGGGATATATCTCTGGAGGTGGCACCAATAGCAGATAACAATCAATACAGAACAAATTACTGACATCCCTAGTCTTCACGAACACCAGCTCTCTGAAGTAGGAGACACATGATTATGTGTTCCCTTCTCATGATAACACAACTTGCTCGAAGAGCCATTCACGTTACTTGGTGGGAGGCATGGCACAGAAGGAAATCTGGTTTGAACCCATGTGCCAGGTTCCTACCACCACATACCATTTTACTTCCATAGTAACTATTATGGGAAAGAAAAAACTTCAAATATAATCAAGAAACATCAAACAGATTGCTAAAAAATTTATACTGGACTAGAGAGAAGGAAAATACTTTCATTCATGGTTTAATATGCTAGTTTACCCTTCAAATTTTTGTTTAGGAATTTTTTTGGCAGGAAATAATGCTTAAAAACTTCCATAGCAAGCCATCTTCACATTGCTTTGCAGTATCACCAATCATTGTTTTGCCCTTTACAAAAATTAAACAATAAAATTTCCAGAGATAATGTGAATTATTTACATATGGTGCAATTAAGAAACATAGTTTTTAAAAATGTGTTTCTACTATAAAATAAAATCTCAGTTTTCAATTCCTTCTTGTTTTGGTGAGCCAAAATGATTATAAATTGTAATTGATTAACTCTTAATACTGAATTTGACTTTGGATACACAATATAAACAGTCATTAAAGGAGGATTAATTTGGCTACACCAGATGGATTCCAATCTGTTTTGGAAGTTTATTACAATTCTCATTTTCTTACAAAACTGAGAAGATAGAACAGTTTTCACTGTCCTTGTGAACCTTGTAATGTCCTCATTGTTGGTTTGGACATTCTTCAGGAACCAAGGACAAGGTACGTTCCTTGTGAATCACAGAATACTCCTCTTAGTATCTTATTCTTGAACTTCACAGTAAGTATCTTGTGTGGCAGCCCTTGATTTTATTTCAGTAGCCTCAGTAAAAAGGTTGATTTTACAAATATATTACTTAATGACTTTTCTAAGCTACTTGCTCACAATATGGAATCCTTTTACTTTCTGTCACACTAACTTTATGAAACGTTAAATATTTAAACTTTCTTGGATTTAGTACTGGATGTGTGTTTTCTTTAAAATTTCCATTCGGTGAAATAAAACAAACATAGAATTGCCTTTACGCACTTAACTGAAAGGTCCTTTCCGTATCTTTCCCTTAGGATTACCATTCAACAGAAATAAAAGGTTTCTATTACATGCCTGAGGAAGTTCCTACCCAGAGAAAGAGATCCTGATAGGAACTTAGTCCAGATGGGCCATTTCTAAAAGAAAGACAGAAATGGAAAGAGTTGTCAATAGAAAAAAGAACAAAAAATGTCAGAAACAGAAATATCAGAAAAACATGTCACCATCCTTCCAAAATGGAATGGGGCCCTAAAAAAACCACAGAATAGATAGAAATAGAGAAAGTCAGAGTAAAAGACCAGCTGCCACACACACACACACACACACACACACACACACACACACACACACACACCAGTCAAGACAGAAACCAGAAACTCAGACTTTATGAGAATAATAGGAATTGGGTGTATACACACTGCAAAGTTAAACCATAAAATGAAATACAGGTATAGGCAGCAAGGCACTGATATAAGTAGAAAAAGTCAGGCTTCACACCAAAATTGGATTTTAAAGACACACAGAAACACAGAATAAAAACAAAAAGAAAAACTAAGAAGTGAGAGACTACATGAGACGGTTTTTAAAAGCTAACAGAGACAAATAGATGAATAGACAAAACTGCATACCTGTCCAGTCGGAGAGACTGAAAATTAGTGTTTTGAAAGTGAAAAAGTTCTAAGACACTTATAAAGAAAAGGGACTGCATTGTGAAAGTAAGCGGTCTCTGGGAAGAAACCGGAGATAAATGAGCCTTGCCCTGATCACGGATGGAGAAAGACAGTGCGCAGTTACACAGGCAGGCTCAGGGTCAGCAGGGTGCCTAGTTGCTGAGTGGTGAAGGTCTTTTCCTGGGACTCAGAATCAATGAGTAAAGCAGCAGTAGTCTGTCCACAGCAGTGATTCTCAGTGGAGGACTCTGGCCCCCTCCAGGGTACATTTGGCAATGTCTAGAGATACTTGAACGGTGACGATTAGAATTGGGGCATACCACTGACACCCAGTGGGTAAGGCCTGGAAAGCTGCTAAACACCCAATAATGCTCAGCACTATTCTTTCAACACAAAGAATCACCCAGTCCAAAATGTCAGCAGTGTGGCTGTTGAGACTACTGTCCTACACTATTCTCACAAGGAGAAAATCCTTACCATTCATTTGGCAACTGGAATTTGCCATCCCTGGAACAAAACCAAGAATTCTAATGTCAAAATTTCAGAATCATCCTCCTCTGGTCTCGTAGTGTTTGAGTTTGGAACAAACAGCCAGAGAGATGCAGGGCAGCTTGATAGGAGACTTGAATTCATTAATTAGCTGAGCAGTTTTGGAAACAAACTATCCCTAAAGAATTCTCTTTTGATGCCAGTAAAGTGGGTGGTTACAATAGAAAAACCATCCCCAAACTTTTCGAGCCTAATAGTCACTTTTTAAGAATAAAAAAGAAAAAGAGAGGAACAAAGTAATTGTACTTTGAAAAGCAACTTACTTTGAGTATCTGATACTCTAGAAAACATGGTTTATTATAATGTGAAATTATTTTAACTTTCCAAAACTAATATACATCTGTATTTATGCAACTCTTGTTGGATGGATTTACAGGTGAGACTTGGACTGGATATGACCATCTAGTCCCTAACCATTTCTTCCCTGTCTGTCTCTACCCTGCTTACAGTAGTACTGAGATCCCTGACCTTTAATTCTGAGGCAATTATATTCATGATTATCTCTGAAGTCTCTTTTAAAGACTGACTAAGCAGTGAGGAGCAGGTAGGGAGTAGGAATCCCATTGTGACCATCCAGGTGGTGGAGGTGGAGAGGGAAATTCAGGTTGTAAGGGTGAGGAACTGAAGAGTTGCCCCCTGGCGCAAAAAAGCAATTGCTATCCAGGTCCAAAACACAACTGTCTCTTCTGTACTCCACATCATATAACTTCTCAAAAGAATTCATATGTTTAGATTTTTAAATTCTGACTTGAAAATGTGAAACACTACGAGCCAAGCACAGCATTTTTGTAGGCTGAATTAGATACAAAAAGGGTCACTGCGTGACTTTTGGATATTTATAATAGATTTAACTTATTTGATTTAATTTATAATCTAATCTTATTGCCTCAAAAGACCATCAAATAACTAATAGAAGATTGAGCACAAAGTTAAAATATAAATACCTTTGAAATACAACGACACACAAACTCAGTTTTCTCATTCCTTACATCCAATTCACAACCAAATTCTGTCAGCTTGGCATTCAAAATGGATCCTAAATCCAAAACTAGCATCTTTGTACAAATCCCCAGCATAACTAGCTTGGTTATCCTGTGAGATTCCAACCTGGTCTTCCTGCTTTCGTTCTGGTCTTTTTCCCGCCAAATGTTTCCAATTCATTGGCCAGAGTTGCATTGTAATATAGTATCATGTTATTTTACTGCTTTTAAGACACATTTCAACTTGCTGTCCTAAAATGTCCTGCTCCTCACCCTCTAGCCCCTGTCTGTCTCTACCCTGCTTTTTATTCTCCTATTCTGCTCTTCCCTCTCCTGTACTCTGACCTGGGAACCCTTGAACTTGCTCTTCTTTTAGGATGGAATGCTTCTCCTCAGACAGATATATAAGCTGCTTGTTCCTTTTGTTCAGGATTCCCCAGACATTTGCCTAAATATCTTCTAGAAAGTAGCAGATACACTTCTCACCCTACCACTGTGCCCTGAAGAAGTTGCCTTCACATCACTGATTCATCATTTACATAATTTGGTATGGTATCCTATACATTGTACGTTCTTTTCAGTTTGTATGCAAGTTTCATGAGGAGGGAAATTTTACTATTTTTCTCCATTCTTTAGTTTATCCTCAGCATGTAGAACTGTCACAAAATAGATGTTGGATTAATATTTGTTTCAGATATGAATGAATGCATAACCTCTGAGAAAGCAAATACAAGGTATAACAGTGATATGTTTGTAAATAACCTAGAGCCTGTCTTATATCATCAGGACCATTATTATTATTATTGAAAACTAAGTTAAAATGCTTCAATGGCTGCAAGTTAATTGAAGGTTTCTTATAGACCTGGGGCAAGTTAGACTAACACAAATTCTTACAACTTAACTATCAGGGTTTCAGGTTCATTGATGTGCAAGATTTCCCCTGCCAGTCTCCTTTCCTTTTCCCCTCTCTCCTTTGTACTTCTTTCTTTGTTTTTCTTTCTTTCTTTCTTTCTTTCTTTCTTTCTTTCTTTCTTTCTTTCTTTCAGACCTCCTTTCAAATATATTTATTATTCCCATCCCCATGCCATGTCTCCTGGGAATCTCCCAACTTGGCTGAGCATGGCTCGCTCCATGCCTAGCCCGTGGACCCCGTGGCATCCCCTTGTGTTTGTGGCACAGAAGCTCTGGCAGCTCCTGGATTGATGAGTTCTCCATGCTCTTTTCATGACCCCAAAACTCCCACCAGCACCTCCTCCCTCCCCTGCCAACATCACAGCCTACTATGACTTTCCTCTGCTGTGGAAACTTGGAAATTATTTAAGTCAGTAATTGTGTTCTTTCTCATTTGTCATTTTCCAAACACCAGTCATTTATACTGTAGTAAACAGTACATTAGCCACCAGACAGTTCCTAATCTGTCATCCCTTTTGTTTGATCCACTCTATCTATTCAAGGAAGGAGCTGCCTGGAAAGACTTCCCCTTGCTAATGAGGAGTCCGAGGTCTCACCTTGCTCAGTCCTTCTTGGGGAGAGTGGGTGGAGGGTGCTGTAAAGCAAAGATCTGACCTGGATCTTTGTGATTTACTGTTCCAGATTCCAGTTTAGAGAAGACAAAGGGTGTTGAAAGAAAGTTCCAATATGCAGAAATAACCCGTAAGCCCTCTTAAGAAATAACTATTTGATCTCTGTGTTTCTTTGTCTTTTTCTTTTCCTTTCTTTCTTGAGAAAGGGTCTTGTTGTGTATTTCAGGTTGGCCTTGAACTATCACTCTGTCTCCCAGGCTGATCTGGAACAAGCTGCAAGTCTCCTGCCTCAGCCTCCTGAGTACTGAGATTACAGGCATGCCCCACCAAACCTGGCTGACTTCAATCCTTTATGTTACTTGACTTGCCAAACCAAAATAAAAATGATATAGTGAATACAAGGAAAGAAAGAGGTCATATTTTCCAGTGGCCAGAATAGTGTATTAGGGATCAGGGCTCTCATACTATTTCTGCCATCAACTTTGAGCATACTTCAACAATAACAGTAAGAGCTAAGTTGTACTGGACTTTTCAGTAAAAATATACATTCTCTTAAATGTTCTTTATAAAACTGGAGGGGATGATAATGGAGATGACAATCCCCATTATAGAAATGACAAAAATAAGTCTTCCAAAGGTTAACTAATTTACATAGCTAGTAAGTGCTAAACCAAAATTCTGTGTTCTGGTCTGTGAAATCCAAAGATAAGAATTAAAGTAGGTGCTACACTTTCTTTTTTCCTTTGTGGTGGGAGCAGTGAGAGAACTAGTTGACTCATCCTTTTCTTTGGTCTTGGGCAAAGTTATGCATATAGCACAGGCAAAGAAAGGACACAAATATCCGAATTCTGGGGCTCTGGTCTCAGCAGTGACATCCTTTCTTCAGGTGAAATCCTATGACCCCGTGAATCTCACACTTGACCCTGTATGTACAGGGTTAATCTGGTGGCTCGGCCCCTGACAAAGCAGGGCACCACACTCCAGAAGCTTAAGTTCAGGCTGCCCTATATATGCTACGGTTATATTTCAGGCAAAGTGACAGCTAACTACTATCACACAGCAGCAACCTTCAATTCATATTAACCTGTACTAGCGTTACAATCGGGGACTGGAGGTAACAGATCCTTTATTCTAGATCCAATTCTGTGTCCCCCGGCCATCCAGGCTCCCAGCTGTTCCATTTTCTGTTTTGCTTTGTTTCCTAAAGATAGTCATTTAACTTCCCGTCATCTTCAGCTCCTAATTGCTACAACCAGATGGAATAACTCACTCCTGGGTGAATCAGAGACTATTTCATTCTGTGACACTGACTGAGAGAGTCCACGTCCCCGTGGGAGAATTCTGATTGAATCACTTGGTTACTATTCCTCCCAACATCTGGCAATGTTTCACCTTTGCTTTTTATTAAAAATAGAAGACTTTATGGGGTTTTAAAAACATATTCCAAATAAATATATACATAAGTAATATTTTTAATTAAAAATCCACAGGTAGAAGCTTCTGTGCCAATTTTTTTTTTCTTTTAAATGTTTTAATAAGCACATGGAAAATTTTGTTCTGCCTTTAAAGGGAGTATGAAGTGGATGGGTCAAGAATGTACTCTATTATATATATATAAAATATACTGGGATCACTTGCACACATGATTCTTGCACACACGATTCTTGCACATGTGCCTTTCTTGCTAACTGGATGTCGCTCTATCATCCTTCCCACTAAGTATCACTTCTCAGCAGCAGGGCTCCTGTGTGTGATCAGAGGTGATGGGACCCTAGAGCTGACAGCCCACAAATTGTTACTGAGCCTCATTAAACACCTGAGATGTGTGAGTTACTTGCACATACCTCAGTATCCACGGGTCAACAGTTCCACAGACATTCAGAGATTTCCTTTCTGTTCTTAATTACAAGATAAATAAATCTCAAACACTTCTGCAGTTCTGTTACAGGGGCAATATTTTTCCCTACTGAAAAGAGTTTATAGGACTACCTGGTAGGAAATACTGTCTCTCTTGAATCAATTCTTTTTTTAAATGCCTCTCATATTTTCTCTGTACAGATGGGAAAAAGGAAAACCAATAGACAGTGAGCACCAATGTGATATAATAGGCTGTGAGTTTCATCTCTTTCAATTATTACGATTACTCTAAGAGGCAGTGCTATTATTCAGCCAAATGTTTCAATAGGGAAATCCACCTTGGAAATGTAAGCAACATACTCAAGTTCACATGACCACAAGGAGAGAGTGGCACTATTCAATAATGAGTCAAAGTGACTTCAATACCTGCATTGTTTCTCACTTCCATTTTTCTCCAGACGAAGAATATGATATTACATGAATGTAAGGATTTATATATTAACTTTTATTGTGACTGATACTCTAAACTCGTTTAGTGAAGATCATTTTTTGGTCCATATTTCATCGGGCCTGTCTTCCCTGATGAATCTTAACAATTCAAACTTGATTTCCTAGTTTTTCTTGTAGCTAGGAAATCATGCCATTTGACAGGATTCTGACTAAAGCCAACCAAGGAAAGATACCTGGATTTCTACTGCTCCATTTCTACAGTCTGGGGATGCAGTGATCATACGGTGAGGAAGCTGCGATAAACTGAGAGGTGAAAGCCAGTGCACAGAGTATGCGGAAGGCAAACCAGAGCATGGCTTTTAAGTGGTGGAGCAGAGCAGCTGTGCCCCTGGACTGCACACTTCCAGGCACACCATAAACCACCAGCTGGCTAAGCCAGTGATAGCCGTGATTTCTGTTAGCTGCTTCTGCTTCACTAAAGGAAATAATTCGGCCTCCGTAAGTAACATCTTCAGTGAGATAAACTGCTACTATTGAAGGACTATATAAAAAAGAGCATTTTATAGACCTTTAGAGTTTAGAGAAAGCATTCAAGAAAGAGAGATCAATACGCCAGAAGAAGAAAGGATACATTTCATAGAAGTGGGAAAAATTGATCTGGATATTTTAGAAAGACAAGAAAGAGGAAGAGGTCATTTCTGTGTAGACATAGAGGGTGAGACCAGGTGTTCAGAGAACTTTGCATCCTTCAGGGATGTCAACTTAGTCACACAGCTGGAAAAAGTTTGGAGAAGTAATGGGTGTAAATGGTACTAGGCTGTAAAGTCAGACTTTTCAGAGCCTATTATGCTGCAAAAACCCTGAACAGTAAGATGCTATCAGGTACCCAGATAATGCTTAAAGGCAATGAATGTAACAGCTGGTGGATGGGGGTGGTAACTAGAGGTTGGAAGACCAAGTACAAAGACTGAGATATAAAGACACTGCAAGAGGAAAAATGTAATGGTGGACACTAAAGCAGAGATTACAAAATATTTATCAAGAAGGAACACAAAGAACTTACAGAGGAAATGAATAGAGATAATATAGCATGGGATTAAGTCTCCAAGGGAGGAAAATAGTGAAGCATTTTGAGAATATCAGAGTTGGAAGGAAAACTGGATTTATAGTAAGTCAGGTCTGCGCTCCAGGGCTTTTTATTCATAAGTACAGTTTTGTATTTCAAAGGCTTCATTTATATAACAGAAGGGCATTGGCTGATCTCCTTGGTCTGTTGTGTTAGACGAAATATCACTTGACAGTTGCTCAATGAATACTTTCTATGAGTGTTATTATCATCGTCAAATAGAGAAAATTTTAAAAAGTTGCCTGGTCTCAGATATTTCTGGTACCTGGGTTCAAACTCAACCTGTCTCTCGCTTGCCAGGAAGGTACTTATGTCACCGAGCTAAATCCCTGACCCAAAAGTTGCCTGGTCTATAAAAGCAAGAGTTCACTAATGCATATGGGTTTTCAGTATTTTTGAGATGCTGATATCAGAACTCCAAAGTTATGTTTACCTTAGGAGATAATTATAGCAATGTACATATTATAGTGTCCTACTGACCCCTGAAAAGCCACTGTTACTATATGCATCCCTTCAGGTCACCAGTGAGAATGTCCAGCATCTTTGTAGTCAAGGGATACTCTAAACTTCCAGGCACTACCAAGTCTCTGTGGCCTATGAAACTCTCCTCTTTCTGTCCTCACTGCATTCCAACACAATAACTCCCCAGTTTACAGTTGAGCTACAACCTATCTCTCACAGGTATACTGTATAAGACTCACAGGTGTGTACTATATAAGACTCAGTTGGATTAGGAACCAATCCAATTTAGGAATGTTCTCCCAGAATGGAACCCATTAATCACTAAGTTGGGGACTTACTGTACTTAGTTTCTATGGCTAACATGCCTGTGTGTGTGAACCTGTGTGACATGGCATACTGGGTGTGATATCATATTAGCACAATTAGCAGTCATGTACTCTGCTTTATGGGCCACCTCTCATTTCCTTAAATTCTCGATGTCCATGTGTTTCAGGAGACAAGTGAAAAGAAAAGAAGGAGCAGGAAGAGGAAAAGTCTGCTGGTGTCTTTCCAGAAGCTACAGGATGTGGTGTGCTGACAGAAGACAGTAACAACCTTGTGTGCATAAAAATGAATCCTAAGTCCTTCCCTTCTGCTGCAAATGGAGAGGTGTCAGCTCACATCATTCTGAAAACCAACAGTGTTCCTGACACTGTTCTAGTGATTTTCCAACTCCAGCTCATTTAACAGTACTTGTATATACACACTGAATGACTCGTCATAGGAGCTAAAATATAAAATAACATGGAAGAAACATAGGCCATTTGTATGAATTTTGCATTTGGCTGTCTCCTCTGCCCAGAAGGCCATTCTCATGATCACTGTACCTCACATTTCACTGAATCTCTACTCAAATATGTTCATCGGAGAATTCATCTTTGGCAATCTCTGTTTCTTCTTACTGTTTTGTGTTTTTCAGACAATGTCTACAACTATCACAAGGTAAAGGCATAGTTGCTTATTTTGTCTCTGCTACTCAAGGTGAGCTGTAAAGATTCAGAGCTTGCTCTCCCGTGATTGTCTCTGAGTGCCCAGGACTCTTAATATTACTAGGCACAGATGAAGTTCTAGATGATCATTTAAAGAAATGCATCCAGCTGCCAAAGACACTAAGAATATATCTTGCATCTTTAGAAAAGCACATTTCCCAGTTTCATGTCCAAGGGTCATACAATGACATCTAACAACCAAAAAAAAGGCAAGAGAACATGAACGAATGTCCATCCTGACTACCTCAGAGCCCCTGCCACTCTCCATCGACCAGAGTGCTTACTTAGCAGGAGCTGTGTCCAGACCACAGGCAAGTTTAGTTCTTTCCCTGTGGATCCCTGGAAACTGGAGTCCTATTCCTTTTCCTTTCCAAATGGATTATATGCAGTTAACCTTTGCTCCAAAGGCCTCTACTCTCCAAATTACCGATTACCTAATCCAAAGTAATGTGGGCTCTGTTTAAACCTAATGAAGACATGGTGGTCAAAGACCTGTTTGCAAAGCACAGTACCATTAGGGAAGATTAATCACCTTTTAACCAGCACTTCTGTATTCTGGCTCCAAGCAGCCGGAGAGGAGAGGGAAGCATCCATCACTTCATCCAAGCAATACCAAATGCTACTGCAGTCATCCATCAGGGAAGCACTGACCTGCCGCAGCAGGGGAGTGAAGTGAACAGAAGCACAAGGGTGTTCGGATAAATATGGAAACAAACATCCCCGGGGTGGCAGAGAATGGGACAGAGTATTGTAAAGTTCTGCAATAATGTGTGGCTTCCGCAGTTAGGTGTGTGTTCCCAGTGCAGTGGTGCACAACAGGGTGCTGTGTTAGCTTGTGTTCTTTAGCTCAGATTCCTTTCTTCCAAAGCCGTGTGGCAAACCTAAAAACAAATTGTATGCTGGTATCTCTTGCACTGCTTTTAGATACCAAGAAAATATTTGCATACTCAGAATACATGGGGCCTGACCTATTCTGGGTTCATAGTGTTTTTGGAGTTCAAATTCTTCAACTCAATAAAACATTTTAAAATACAAAACAACAATTTTACACAACAATTGTACATTTTTGTACAATTGCAGTGCTGTGTTTGTATAACCTGTTGGTGCCTAAAAACACAAAGAACCCAGCATAGCTGCAGGTCAGTTACCAAATGGAATTGTTAAGAACATCCTGGCTCACCTGTGAGTTTGAATAATACATCAATTGGACAAAGTGGGCTGACATTGATGACCACTGTAGCCTGGTAGATGCTCTTATCACCGCCAGTACTTCTTCATGCATTGCAAGGCATAGATGTTTAAAATGAAGACCCTTTGTAAGAGTCCTATTGTGTGGAACTTCCGGTATTTAGGCACTATGAGGACAATTTTCTAATTATTCACATAACCTTGCATTTCTGTATTAAGAACCCATTGTTTGTACCACTTCTCATGGTGCTTATCTCATGCAATCTAGTATTGGAACAAATTGCATGTTCCCATCCTCTCCACTAGATTGTAAGCTCTTGAAGCATGGGCCGAAAATCACACTCATCCATAGATCCCCTGAAGTGCCTGGCACTTTCCAAGTGAATAGAGGCACTTAATAAACATCAGTAGAATTGGATTTTTTGAAGAGACCATACATCAAAAGAAGTAAAATGAAATTAATTTATTGGAAGCTTATTAAAATGCACTTTCTCCTCTCCCTCCAGTGCACAGGAAATTCAAGCCAGCATGAGCTGAAGAGCATCTTCAGTATCAAAATTAAAGATCATTGTTCTTCCTCTTGCTGCAGCTAGGTGACATGGTGTGTGCAGGATAATATGGGAAGACCCACACTTACAACCTCAGAACGCCCCTTAACAAAGCTTGCTGAGCCTGAGCAAATTCATTAATGCAACTGAACCTCAACTTCCCTGTCAACTTATAAATGACTACAAGGGCCTTTCATAGGTCAACATATATATCCAGTGTCCAGCATGGCCCATGGTCTCTGGCTTACAATGAGCACATCTATAAGAGTTAAAACCACTTCCTATGGCAAGACTTGAACTTCTGAATCTGAATTTATGAAATAGTACTATGTAGAGGTCACACATCTAAATTCAACAGTAATTTGGTAAAGAAAAAAATTTAAAAGACTCATACTCTAGAATTTAGTGAGAATTAGAGTACACATCATTATTGTCAGAGTGGATGTGAGTTGAAAAGGATGGAAAGTGGTGAGTGTGTTCCTGTGTGTGTGTGTGTGTGTGTGTGTGTGTGTGTGCATGTGTGTGTGTGTGCAATGCACCATGCATACATACAGTGTATTTTTAAGCAGATATTGGTCCACTGATGTGTTCTCTCAGAAATACCAACAACACGGACTGTGAGGTTTGGGCTGTTTCTCTGGAGATGCCCTTATGTGTTACATGGTTACTTTATCCATGATGAAAAACAATAGACTTGATTTTTAACTGTCCTTTGATGGCCTTTCTCTCTGTTTGATGTGACTCAACCTCTCCCCCTCTACTCAGGCTCATCACTCAGCAGAGAGCCAGGTCACACATTCAGGAGGAGCCTTGAGAACACGCCCCACCCTTACTCTGACCGAGTTTTCCCTTCCCTGCCTTGGCTTTCATTTGTCTCTTCCTCATCATGCCTTATCACTTCTGCTCCTCTTTTGCCCTGTCCCTACATGGATGATTGAGTCTTTTTTAAACTTCCATCTCTACCCACTCCATCCTCTGGCTGCAGCCTGGTCGTATCTCCCCTCACCACTCGCTCATAATATCCGGAACCTCTGCTCTCCCCACTCCCACATCTGATCCACTCTGATCTCCCAGAGAGTTCGCAGTTGTCCTCCTGGGCATGTCTGCTCTTTGTAAAACTCTACTCAGCTCACCTGTGTCCCTCGGCTGCTCTGAATCTTTTCAGAGCTTCCTTCTCTATGTCCACCATTTTGTTCAAAGTCTCTCCAAATTCTCACCATCATAGAGATCTTCCTGTACTATTCCATCCCTGCTCCTGTTCAGTCTCTCCTGCCTCTTCTTCATTTGTCTTCGGATCACTTAATCACTTTTCCATTATACAATATTTTATTTATCTATTACCTGTCTCTCCTTGTAAAACCTACAAAATTAGATGTAAAATTACTTGAAAAGACTTGAGATTCTTAAACTATCTAGACAGTGAGATTAGAAAATGAAATGAAAAAAAAAATAAAGATAATAATAGCATTTGTGCCACCAGAAAGTGTTGGTTATTGGAACAAGCATCTTATACACAGGTTCACAAGTCCCTCTCTTTACCACACATCCTGACACCATGGTTTATGGTCACTCTGAGTGACTTCAGGGTCACAAGTGTTAAATGATTTTCACTGGGGAGCAAAGGCCGAATGTGATGCAGGGCCACATTTTCCAAAATGCCTTTCTCTACATGATCTGTGCTGAGTGAATGTTGGTAGCAATTCATTGTAATATGAATCAGCAAACAAAAACTTTTTCCCAGTTCTGGTAATCAACAGAGAAAGGCTTCCCTGAGAAGGAAAACCTTAAACTAGACTTGAAGGATGAATAGGATTATGGTAAGTGGAGAAAAGTTGAGCAAACAGATGTTTGATTACCAGCTATAATCTTTCAGAGCCAGAATAGGAATGCTCAGTAGCCAGAAGCTCTGGGATATTTTTGCAACTTCAGTTTAGAGAAAGAATTTTTATTCTTAAAAAGACAGTTTATTCTCTTAAAGGCAAATATGGACATATCAGAAGTAGGTTTATTGCACCATTTAAAAAAACTAAAACAGGGAAGAGAATCAGAAGACTGGGTTTATTCACTACGCATTCATTATTCTTTCACTTATTCAAGCTATATGCGTTTATTAGGGGCTGACCCTGTGAAAGAATCAGCAACAGGAAGATCCCATAATCCTGTAACACTATAAAACTTGGTATAAAAAGACAATAATGGTAAAATTATCAGTGAGCAATAAATGAAGTTCTTATGATCTCAAAAATGCGGGAAATCACCTCTGATGCACACAGAGCTGCCAGGGTAATGAGAGAATTAAGGAAAGGAATAGCATGGAGAAAAATCCAGTTATTTCACTGAATCTTCCTTTTCTATATTCATTCATTCAGAAAGCATCACACAATGTAGCCCACTGTAGAGGTAAATCACTATGTAGCTCAGCCTAACCCTTCAACTGCATCAGGCTGCTGAGTACTAGGGTTACAGACATATAAAATAGTGCTCAGCTATTCCTTTTGTTTTATTTCTAAGTACCTGACTTTACCAAATCTGTGTCCATGAGAAGTGGGCACTGTAGGGTGATCAAGGAGTTCCCTTTGCTGGTAAAGACTGCTGATTGCTTTCTTATTTCTTTTCTACAAAAGTGAATTTGTAGTATGTCCCAAACTAGTACCAACAGATGCAAAGAGGAAATGCCCACACATATGGTTCATAGGCTTCTGTGAAGAGCAGTTTTTGTTCATATCCTTTCTCTGTATCCCACCATTAAATCCTCAAAGTGTTATTCTATATCCAGAGAACACGCAAGCTTGTATCCTCCATCCTGTGCATTGTGCAGAATACTCACACTGACCTAATTACTGTGGCAATTTGTTTCCGTCACCCTAGATAAACCACATAATTTCTTATCCAAAGTGACTTTTCCCACCTCTCCTCCATGCCACCTTCATAATGTCGCTAGCTCCAGAGCCTGCAGGCAGGTCTAGCAGAGTCTGAGGCCCACGATGGGATCCAAAATAGAGTGTAGACAAGGTGAGAGATAACAGGAAAGGTTAAAGGATAGTGAAAGAGGCAGGACAAAATTCCCAGAAGGTCAGACTCCCTAAGGGATGGTGCAACCTTGTAGTTGGCTAATGTTCAACAGCATCACAAATGGGACTGGTTGCTTAGTAGACTAGAGAAGCTCTTTAAAAGGGTAGGTGTGTACACACCTGGTGGCCCATGGGGTGATCCACACTAGGGAGGCACCAGTCATCTGACCCACCCGATTCAGAACTCAGGCTATAATCCCGTACTCCCAAGAGGGTTCAACCTCCAATGTTAGGGTCAGGCTCTGGGTCAGCATTCCATTCACTCTGCGGATATTTGAGGGTCAATTCTATAGAACACAGATGGGAATCTGTCACGAAGCTTTCTGTCTGCCTGTGAGACTTTTCTTCATTCTCGACTTCAAATTGATCTGATGCTCTGGATTCACTCCCATGCCCGCTTTGTCAAAGCATGTGTGGGCTGTTTATAGCCAGGCTTACTGCGGCCCAGAGCTTTCTCCTTTGTCCTTATGGTTCAAATACCCAGCAGCTTTGGCTAGACACAGAGGGATTGAAAGGGAAGAAGAAATGCTATTAATTATAGAAAGGTTAAATTGTTTGTTCAGAGTCATTCAGTCAGAAAATGGTAGAGTTCAACAAATCTCAAATACCTCAGATTAGGTTATATCCTTTTACTGAATATACCCAGAGCACCTTGAATCTCTTCTTTGGCAATGTTAATCATTCTTGTACCTATTTATTTAATGCCTCTGGTCTCTAGCCAATTATAGACTACTTTAATTTTGTCATTTTCACTCTGCTAGCTCTTGCATCTAGCATACTCTTAGAGTAAGGGAGATGGATACAATTTTTGTTGACTTTAGTAAAAATTCCAAACAATTCATTGGAATTTTTACTAGCTATTTAAGTGATCTTCTAAATCTAAAGCTATTTTTGAACCTAGATATGAAGCATTACTAAAAAAGAAAAGATAAGGCTTAGTTCCCAAGACAGATTATCTTAGGGGTATAATAAAGAAGCGAACCATCGTGAACTCAGATTCTGGGTGTGCACTGCAGAAAGATTTCCTCCCACTGTACTAAGTTACTTGTGTTCAGAACCTGTGAACCCTCAGCAAGCTGTGTTGTCTGTGGTTGCTGCATGCAACAAAAAGAGCAAAGTAAGAACCCAAGGAAACACAGCTAAGCTAAAAAGGGAATGGCAGGTTTAAAAATCACTGCCAAGGAGGTCACCTTTCAGGTTTGTTCCTGAATACTAAGGAGCAAAGCAAGAGCATCCTCTAAGAGACTAGAGTAGAGTCAGAGACTTTTTGAAGACAGAGCAGCCATATTCACTAGAGAAGCTGGAAATCCTGAGGTTGGACCGAATTTACATCTTGTTGAAAGAACTGTCATTTAAATCTCTAGTTATGCTTCAGGATCTTAAGACAAAACTAGAATGAGCTCTGGTGGAAGCTATGTAAAAATGCATAGGATTGAAGATAAAGCCCTGGGCTTCTTGCTGAGCCATCCTAGCCCTATCAGTGTGCCTCCCTACCATAACACTTATCTATCAGGGAAGTTTAACACTGCTGCTTGTATCTGGCATGGTTTGCTGAATTGAGGGACAGATCTACTATCCATAACTGGGATAGGCAAGAGACAGGAAAGCATGTTTCTCACAATTAGGGCCATAGAGGCAATGGAAGAGTCTCAAGGATGAGGAGAGATACAACAGCCCTTTCTAAGGCAGATGTTCACTTCCCTCCCCCTTTAGAGAATGATGGTACTGACCACTGTTGATTCTGACCACATGGATTTTCATTCAGTGTCCTGTAGAGTCACTTTTCCTTCAGTACCTGTGAGAAGTTCAAGTGTTATAAATTTCATGAAGGCAAAGAAGATTTTTCTCTTCTGCCCTATTTTAACTCCAATGCTAAATACAGCAACTGCTACATAGTAGAAATTTTATAAATATTTGATGAACAATTTAACTATTTTGTAGTTTGCTTTTATGTATCAGTCAGATAACTGTGAATGAATGCATTAAAACCAACATTCATTTTTTAAAATATATAAATCACATAAGGTACTTATTTATAGATTATCATAGGTTTGATGGTCAATAATGGTTTGAAAAATTTCTGGAAAGCATTAACTTATTAAGGGAAAAACAGATTCATTTATGAAGACTCTGATTTAGCATTTTGTAATCAACAAGGTGGTTAGCAAAATATAATATGAATAGAAATGGATTCAGCATTTCAAAGACAAAAGCTTCTTTGGAAGGAGTTAATAATCCCTTTGAGAGCATTTGCTACTCACAGAAAGTGAAGTGGGCTGTTACAGCATTTTGTTTATGTTTTAGCAGGTACTTAATACCAACATTGTGTAAATAACTTTGGTACACAGAGAATCAGGCACACAACTGGTCTGTTTCAAATGCTGCCTCTCAGCAAAACACAAGGAAGTGGGGATAGGTACACCAAGAACATAATAAATTCAGAATAGTTACAGCCTAAGGAATACTACCTATCTAATAAATTGACTCCTGACCTTAAATACTATTATGAATGTGAGAAAAATTGACACGTAGTAATAGGTTTTAAAACAAATCAGGATCCTGTTCTAAATTGAAGAAATTTGACTGTATATATCCTTGTTAAGTGAATTTTGTACAAGCAAAGCTGAAAGGTCCTTGAGCTAAATCTGCCCCACCATCTAGAGCCACAGACAAGTGCGCTGCATCTCCCTTCCATCTTCAAATACAGTAAGACAGGCAGAGAACGCAGGACGCAAAATCAGTGTCAAAAACATTCCTGTGAATTTCAGCTTGAAAAGTGCTGAAGAAAGTATGCTTAGCTTAGCAAAGGTTAGATGAGTATGATCATAGCAAAAACCCTTACAAGGCTTCTCTGTTTTTAACCTGAGGAGTAATATGAGAAAAATAGCTAGCAATCCTTAAGTAATTAAGCCAAGAAGCTGAGCAGTTCCTGAAAAACCACGTCTTCTGTAGCTTGGAAAGTTCAAAACAGACAGGCAAGCTTTAGAATTTCCCAGAGTGGAAGATCATGATAAACGGAAAGTCTATCTGGATCCAGATGCTGACCTAGGGCAACACATCTATTCTCGGGGATCCTCTTGTGCCTTTTGCAAAATGGGGATAAATGAGCAGAATCTTTCCGTAAGGTTCTGTGGGGTATAAGTAAGAGTCTACTTAAAGTCTTTCCCATACCTTTCATAAAGTAAGTCACCCTCAGATTGGTCTCTGTCACTGATCAAACTCCATTGTTAATTCCCCTACCTAGTTCCTGAATTTCCAATTCCCTCCAACGTAAATAGTATCCTCCAGACAGTGGAATTCATACAACACTGTACATTTGCAATTGATCACAGGGTTTTTCACATTCTCCTCCCTCTAACTCTCCTGCTTTCTCCTCTCACCAGTCTGGTTACCCTCCCAGACTCAGCGTGGCTGTTACTGGCTGCTCCATGCTACCTAAATGGTTTTTCAGTCCTCTCCCAGGTCATACCACTTCTCCTGGCAGTCTGTGCAATAAAAATGACCCACAGGACATGCTATCTTTTCAACTAGACCTTGAGCTCCTGGGGAGATTGAGTACATATTTCAACTCAGCTTTCTTGGTGCCTAGCATCCTGCTCACCATAGAGCAGATGTTTATAAGTAGATAGACATTAGTTCACAACCAAGCTATTTGTGGAACATCTGTGTTTACATCTCCTACAACCTCACATTATACTTAAAGAAAGAAATTACTCCCTGATGCAGGAACTTGCCAACAAATAAAGCCCTTGTACAGTAATGGAAATGGAAAGAAATCAGTATTGCAGATAGCATCATCAGTAAGTTTTATTGAATTTTGACTAATGATATTTATTCATCTATTCAACGGTTTGCTTCAGAGCCCACTCCTCTTTCGTGTCAAAGGAATTTAAACCATCACTCTCTCTTTTCATTTCTATTGATGAAAAATCACATGGTCACCTGTGTGTATGTTCTTGAGCCTTCTTAGCAGCCGCTGTGCCTACTGTGGACACCCAAATGACATACTCACTTGAGTATCTGTTCACTTCCTGTGACTCGTCTCATTCAGTAGGAAGAAATTTTTATTGCAAAGTACAACCTGTTGGTGATCATATGCTGATGAAATAACTTAGCTGCTTCCAAATTTTGATGTTTTTTTTTTTTTTTTTTTTTTTTTTTTGGCTTTTTCCTTTTTATTGGTACCAGGGATCGAACTCACGACTGCCTGCTTTCAAGGCAGGCGCTTATGCCGCTGAGCTAAACCCCCAGCCCCTGATGTTCTTTTTTGAAACGAGTGAATATAAACCATGGCAAGAAAGTTGAAAAGAGAAATTTCAAATTTTCAAATGCATTTAATTATCTTGATTAAAAAGAGGAATAATGATAGAGAAAATCCAAACTGAAAAAAAAAAAAAAAAAAAAACACCTGGCACCTTCCTCTTAATCAACCTTGAATTGGTCTTTTTTCTGGACCGACTTTCAAACTGCGGACGAAAAAAAAAAAAAAATCCAGCCCCTTAAAATTGACCTGTAAAATCAAAGCACCACCTAGTGGTCAAAATGGAAAACAAGGGCTTTTAATATGGGATCTTTCAAACCCAACAAATACTTTCTTGGATTGTCAGTCTCTCAGTGTCTGGTGAGTTATACATTCCCTTTTAAAATTTATGCTAAAATTAATTCCAGACTTTTACAAAGAAAGAACAAACAACAGCTTTTTTTTTTATTATCTCCCCAACCTGTTAACACAAACACTTGGGGCCTCTACGTAAATAGAGGTGTGTGGGCTGCAAACCATCTGCGGTCTTGGTTCTTGGCCAAGGGTCCTCTTGTAGCAGCCAGACATTCCATGGCCAGAGGTCCTGGCCAGTTAGACCTTTTCTGGATGTAGATCCCTCTCTGGAGGTGGGAAGGGTGCAATTCTATTTTATGCCACGGCATATGGAAGACAATATGGCAGAGAGGGTAAGCGGATTGGCTCATAACATACCAACCTGGACTGGAATCCCAGTTTCCAGCTTCCTAGCTTTGTGGCCCATGGACAAGATTTCTCAATTATTATATCTCTATTTTCTTTTTTTGAAATAAAGAAGGAAGTAATACTATCTTCCTGGGGAGATGAAAATAGCCACTTGAAAGGCAATCATAAAAAATCAATAAGATAATATCAACCATCATGTACATAAAGTTAGGAAACTTTTCACAAATATCTCTTGTATGTTTTATTATTGTATTACTGAATCTGTTTAATTTCTGTCCAATTGTTTCTTAAAGCAGAACAAAATCCAAGAAGTGGAATTCTACTAAAGGTTGATTCAGCCTCCCTTATCTTGATTATGTGGCTCTTTCTAGGTTTGCTTTTATTGATGTATGTTTGCAGGATATGATATTTACACTCATTTTGGGAAATAGGTACATAATTATTTAGCCATCTGATATATTTCAACAAACACCTTGAAATTGTTATCAATCTAAGAATAAGTTATACTCCCAGTGGTACCTTACAAACTCCCATAAAAAAATCACACATGATGTGCAGATGTAACCCAAGTGGTGATTAGGTGAAATGGATAGACTGTGTTAGGACCCACAATTGACCCATGAACTAACTCAGAAAGAGCAAACAACAGTATCCCAAAGTCACAGTACTCAAATCTATTACAACATAGGCTAAAAAGAAAACATTTAAATGAATCCAGCTAAACAAAGTATTGAAGAATATTACACTGAAGACCATGGAGATTTCTTATTTTCCACATGGTTCAATACTGAGATTTTTTGTTTTAAAGGTATATAGTCACCAGAACCGTTATAAAATCTGTATATTTTAACTGGATGAAAAAGATGCCTTTTAAAAAAGCCTCCTTAAAAGAAAAGATGACAACAGGAATATCTTACAGTTCCATCATATATGTGAGTTTCTATCATCCTCGTACAAAAGAAACTGTCATTTAACTTCAAGCAGAAGGGAGTGGACCTACCACAGATATGCATAATAACGAGACAGATGGTTGAACAGTCACCTGTCTGCAGAAATTATTCACAGAGGAGAAAATGAAAAACAGAAACTGAATAATTTGTATGTGTTTGGCTTTAATAACCTGAAAACATCTTTTCTTGCTTACAAGTTGAATTCAATCATAACAGGAAAAATGGGAGAAAAGGCAGCTTATTTACTGTCGTCCTCACTAGAGAGAGATTATACGAAATACTCATATTCAATCATGATGGATGAACCTTCCTCTGTACCCTGAAAATGAGCAACCTTGCTCACAAAGCACCTCCCTACAGACTTCCCAAGCAAAAGGCCCTCTCCTGTCCAAGCCTGACAACTGGATTTAATCATGCATGAGAGTAACAAGTCCCTATGGTTTAGCATCACACTGACTCTGAACAGCCAGCACCGATGGCAAATGATCTCTGTTTGGTCCCTGGATTTGCAGTAAACACAACCAAGAAGGAAATTATCTTCTTGCTAAATACTTCCTGGGTCATATTTGCAATTTAGATCTGTAGGTCAGATTACCATTTCTTTTTCTGCCTACATGCTCTCAAATCTAGATTCTTCTAACAATGGTACTAAGCTAGATGTTGATAATTTTTCCCAGGTCTTATACAGACCATGAACCAACTGTTGATAAGCATTTAAGACACCCATATAGAATATGTGTTTGAATGTGTACCTAGGGAATTAGTTGGGAAGTCTAGGAAGGTACCTCAGGAGACCTAACCAAGCTGAGGCAGTCAGCTGGGAAGGCCTTCAACTCTTTTTCTAGGTAAGTCATTACTCATGCACCTATTGAACCACAATAGGAAAACTTTCAGATTTAATGCAATCATCAGAGTGTAAACTTTAGAGCTTTCTTTTGCACACCACTGCTCATTAACGAGGGGGCAAAGGGAGATTTGAATTGGCAAGCTCACAGCAAGCCTCACACAAGATGTACTTAGCATCTCGCGTGAGGCTCTGGGTTCAATCCTCAGCACCAAAAAAAGAAAAAAAATTATAATTCTTAAGTTCAGTGAAAGGTACATGAATATTCATTTTGTTCTTTTTATAT